CCACCCCCAGCTGAGGCCCTTCCCACGGTCCTTCAAACTTCTGTGCAGGGTACCCGATGCTCAGTCCTCTTTCCTCTCCACAAAGAAGGCATCTTCCTGCAGCCGCAGCCACATTACACAGAGCCTGGGGTGTGGGGCCAGGCTGGTCTGTGTAGGGAGAGTAGGAGAGAAGGAAGGAGAACCTGAGAGGCAGGAAAGGGACGGGGAGGAGAGAGACCAGGACAGGAAAGGGAAAAGAAGAGGAGCGGGAGGGAGGAGCAGACCCAGAGCAGAGAAGTACTGAGAGATGGGACATGAAGGGGGAAGGTCGGAGGACTGGTGGGTTCACCTCCAAGGAGCCCCACGTTCCCAGTCCAGCATTCTGGTCATCAGCCCTGGAGCTCAGAGGCACTCTGCACGGGGAACCTCAGACAGATCCCTTGTGAGCCTCGATAAGCCCCCTGTAGTGTGAGGAAGCCAGAAGTCCCGAGGGACCCCGTTTTGGTGTCTGGGTCTCCCCCCTCTGGTCCTTGGCCGCAGGCTGCTTCCGAGGTGGGGTCAAGGCCTTCAGGAGGGTGGACAGGGGGAGAGCCACTCCTGCCCACGGCCCAGCCTTGGTGAACTGGCTGGGTCTCCCTCTGTGCATACAGATCCCAGGGTGAACTGGCTGGGTCTCCCTCTGTGCATACAGATCCCACCCAATGACCCTCGAATCAGGAACCAAAGGGACTGCATCCCCTTCTTCCGCTCCTGCCCTGCCTGCTCGAGCAACAACATCACCATCCTCAACCAGATCAACGCCCTCACCTCCTTCCTGGACGCCAGCATGGTGTACGGCAGCGAGGATGAGTTGGCCAGGAAACTTCGCAACACGACGAACCAGCTGGGGCTGATGAAGGTCAATGACCGCTTCACAGACAACGGCCGGGCGCTGCTGCCCTTCGACAACCTGCACGATGACCCCTGTCTCCTCACCAACCGCTCAGCGCGCATCCGCTGCTTCCTGGCAGGTCAGACCTGGTCAGGGACCTGGGATGGCACAGGGGTGCCCCCGCTGGAGCCACAGAGGGCCTGTTTGTAAGCAGCTTGTACCCTCACCAACTTCATGCTATTAATCCAGTTGCCTTGGTTACAGTTGATGGAGCCAGAAAGGAAAAAACCCAAAAACTCAGACCTAAGAAGGAGATTCAGGGATGGTCGGAGGAGCCTCTGTCCATCCACTTCTCTGTCTCTCTCTCTTGCCCTCTGGGCCCTGGCAGAGAGCACAGTTGAGTCCCCAGGGACAGGGAACTAAGGGACAGAGAACAATGTGAGGTCCTCACCCTCTTCACCACATGGTCAGTTAGGTAGCCACTAGCCACATGTGGCTAATTGCATTTAAAGCGACGTTAATTTATATTAATGTACAGTAAATATTCAGTTTCTCCACTGCACTAGCCACATTTCACGTGCTTCACAGCCTCATAGGCTAGTGGCTCCCATGGGCAGCACAGCTGTAGAACATGGCCATCCATTCAGAAAGTTCTGTTGGACATATAGAACTGCTCCATATCACCTCCTGCCCATCTTGAGTCCCTGTAACACAGTGGTTCTCAACCTTGGCTGCACATTAGAATCACCTGGGAATCTTTTTACAATCCTGATTTCTGGGCCTCATAGCCTTGGCTCACATTAGAATCACCTGGGAATCTTTTTACAATCCTGATTTCTGGGCCTCATCCTCCAGAAATTCTGTTTTTTTGTTATGGGGTGGGGCCACAACATTAGTAACAAAGAAACAGAATTTCAGGAGGATGAGGCCCAGAAATCAGGATTTTAAAAAGGTTCCCAGGTGATTCTAATGTGCAGCCAAGGTTGAGAACCACTGGGTTAGACCGTTGTATAATTTACTCCAATGTTTTTTTGTTTGCTTGTTTTTAGTAACAACATACTTAGGTAAGAGATGCATTCTTTATTTTTACATTTCATTTTATCTGTCTGTGGTTCTTTTAAAAAACTTTTTAAAATTTACTTTGAAAGAGAGAGGAAAGGAGAGGGAGAAAGAGAAACACTGATCAATTGCTTTCTGCACTCCACCACCGGGGATCAAGCCTGCAACCCGGGCATGTGGAAATCGAACTGGTGACCTTTGGTGTGCGGAACGACACGCAACCAACTGAGCTACACCAATCAGGGCTACTCCACTGGTTTTTAATGTAGATCCAATAGTGGGCCTGGGCCCTTCCCTGTGACCTCCCAGCCTCTCCTCCTGGTGGCTTCTAATGGCTGAACCCTGGGGAGGAATGCAGTGTGGACTTTTTTGGCTAGTGAGGGAAGAGCTGCACTCCTTAGGCAGTCTGGGCTGCCTCCAGCCTGGTGTTGGCGAGTTGCCTCTCCCAGACCTGGATCATCATGATCACTGGCAGCTCATGGGATGGAAAAGCTGCTCTCATGGAATTTCCTTCCCAGCAGCCTTTAGAGCTGCTGAGGACTAAACCCAATGCCCCGCTGAAACGGACCTTGAGCCCTTCCAGAGAAGGGTTGGGGAGGACTAGAGGGATCAGGGGTCTAACTCAGCTTCTTTGAACAGTCTCAGGCATGGACTTTAAACATCCTGGGCTTCAGCCCCCTTCCCTGAATAGGCTGCACGATTAGCATGTAGTCAGGGTAGGGATGGCCGCTCTGATCAGAGTTACTCAGAAGGTAGTGGCTTTCTAGAGTCCCGTGTTGAGAGGGATTCTGAGGTTGCATCTGATGTTAGCAAGTTAGAATGCTGTGATCATTGGCTGTTCCTGACATGGGCATGGAAGTAGGGAGTGCCAACAGGCATGCTACTTTTTGGCTTTCCCTAAATCAAGAGAATAAGTCAACCAGGCAGTGTTCATGGCTCTCCTGCTTTGTACCAAGCACTGTGTTAAACCCCATGTGTCTTACATGAGTGTGCTGGGTGAGAGGGTCAGATACAAAAAGGCAAAAGACGGCAAGCCTTGTTCTCAAGGAGCTCCCGGTCTCAGGCACGGGAAGGTAGCAAGTCCTATGTCAGATCTGACCCCTATTGAATGAACGTCTCTGACCAGCAGTGCCCCTACCAGTGGTTCTCAACCTTCCTAATGCCGCGACCCTTTAATACAGTTCCTCATGTTGTGGTGACCCCCAACCATAAAATTATTTTCGTTGCTACTTCATAACTGTAATTTTGCTACTGTTATGAATCATAGTGTAAATATCTGGTATGCTGTATGTGTTTTCCGATGGTCGCGACCCACAGGTTGAGAACCGCTGCCTAGACCAAGGAAGAAGCTATTGTGGTGGGCCAGGGAAACGAGTAGGGGAGGTGTAATCTGAACATGGTGTGCAAAGATGGGTGGACTGGGTAGGAGGCATTTCAGGGGAGAGAGTTTCAATGGAGCAAGTCCTTTCTAGGATGGAGGACTTAGGAGTGCCTTCCACCCTAAGGGGACACCCGCTCCAGTGAGATGCCCGAGCTCACCTCCATGCACACGCTCTTTCTGCGGGAACACAACCGGCTGGCCACACAGCTCAAGCGCCTGAATCCCCGCTGGGATGGAGAGAGACTCTACCAGGAGGCCCGGAAGATTGTGGGAGCCATGATCCAGGTGGGCAATCCAGAGCATCGATGATGCCAGGGGTCAGGCCGAGTTGGGACCCACACGTGCCTCTGGCACATGCTGTCTGACCTTGGGCAGTTTAACCTCAAGAGCCTCCGTTTCTTCATCCATGACGCTGCAGAGTAAAGGACATATAGGAAAACACCTGGCGGATACTAAATGCCTGACAAGTGGTACTTGTCTTCCATCTTCTCTTTCCCAGCCTTGCTCCCCTGTCTATTCTGTCCATTGAGAATGGAATTGGGAGGGTTAAATTGCTGCGTCTAAAGTAGCAATTGAATAAATGCCTCTCCTCTCCTTCATCTCATTGTCACTCTTGGCTCTTTTACCCACTCACCTATTCTTTTTGGCTTTATCATAGCTCACTCCGTCTCCTTAACCTTGTTTATTCCTGGGCAGTGTTCCTGGTTCTTTCTTCCAACCTTTGATGCTCCAGCACCCCCATCCCCCATCCTCTCCTGGAGACATAAACACACACACACACACACACACACACACACACACACACACACCCCTTTTTAAAACTCTGGTAGGGGAGAAAGTTGCAGGAGCAGAGGGTGAGTTTTTGAGTTGCACCAAGAATGTAAGTGAGATTCATTTAAGCCTCAGAGGAAATTCCAGAGTCTAGAATCTAGAGTGAGATTGTTCTGTATCTCTTCCTCACTGGGGAAAGTCACCTAGGGTGGCTTTTTGCCTCCCTTCCTTCGACAGTCATATATTGAACCCTACTGGGAGCCAGGTACTTGCTGGGCACTGAGTAATTCCCAGAGAAATGAGATATAATCATTGCCTGCAAGAAGTGTTTAAGTTAGTAAGAGAAATGAGACATTGATAACTCCAAGTCCAGGGAGTTATCAATGACTAACAAAGCCCCTTTGTTATTTAATCCTAGGCAGAGGGCAGCATAATTACCTTTAATTTAATGGGAGAGATCCCCCAAACCAGGAGCAGGTGGCAACTCTGCAGGGAGGGTTGAGTAGAGAGGCCACTCTGAGTGACTTTTCTTTAGATCATCACTTACCGGGACTACCTGCCCCTGGTGCTGGGTCCAGAGGCCATGAGGAAGTACCTGCCCAGGTACCGCTCCTACAATGACTCGGTGGACCCTCGGATCGCGAACGTCTTCACCAACGCCTTCCGCTATGGCCACACCCTCATCCAGCCTTTCATGTTCCGCCTGGACAGTCAGTACAAGCCCACGGGGCCCAACCCCCGTGTTCCACTCAGCCAGGTCTTTTTTGCCTCCTGGAGGGTTGTGCTGGAAGGTGAGCGGGACCGAGGCCAGGAGAGAGGGTCGGGTAGGGGTGGGTTTGGCCACAGGGAGCCAGGGCAGGAGAAATCCTCTTTCCTTCCACTTCTGGGGCTCTGATCTGACTTCCCAGCCTCAGTTTACCTGACTTGCTTCTACATCTAATAGTAAAGAATGGGGTGGGAATGGCGCATAGGGAGCTGGCTCCTTACTGTGTGTTGTGACTCTGAGACCCAGGAGGCTAGGGGTGTTGGGAGCACCCTGACCTTGCCAGTCTGAACGACATAATCCCCTGAGACCTTGATGCCCCAGTGAGAGCCTTCCCACTGGGACCACCTTGGCACCAGGAGCGGCATATGCCCAGCCCTCTCTGCAACCCGCCTGACCCTACCTTGGACTTATCCCTGACGCCTACCTGAGCTCTGACACGGAGCCAGACACCCCTTCCCCTCTTGCCCCCAGGTGGCATTGACCCCATCCTCCGGGGCCTCATGGCCACCCCTGCCAAGCTGAATCGCCAGAACCAGATTGTGGTGGATGAGATCCGGGAGCGGCTGTTTGAGCAGGTCATGAGGATCGGGCTGGACCTGCCGGCTCTAAACATGCAGCGCAGCCGGGACCACGGCCTCCCAGGTGAGGGGCCGCAGGATCCCCCTCCCCGATCCCCACTCCAGTCTCCCCAGCTACCCAAGACTTCCTCCAGCCCTAGCACCTTGCTCTTAGGAATCCATCTGAGGTCAGGCACTTGCCTCTCCCTGGGCCCACCTTGTCCATTTTCAGTAATTCCTGGCCTCCTCTGCGATGCTGTAACCCTTAAACTTGGAGCACCATCATAATAACAACAAGCCTCCTCACCTCTATAGTCTGAAAATCCGTCTCCATTATCGTTTCATTTTGCTTCATGTTACATGAGCTCTGAGGGGAAGAGTGTCATCACTCACATTTTACTGGTGAGGAGAGAGGCTTGCAGAGATTCAAGACCTGCCTAGGTTCTCCAGCCAAGTCAGGAGCAGAGCTGGAACCCAAATCGGCCTGACCTCCAAGCCTGTGGCTGAGCCTTCTAGACACACCTCACCCCTCACAGGTCTGAGGTCTCCAGAGGGGGACAATGAGATGTCCCTACATTTGGACCTGACAGGAGTTGTGGCAATTTAGGATTTGCTTTAGGGTGGGAGGGCAAAGGAAAGACAGAGAGGGTCCTGGAGCAACTCAGCTGTCCCCTTGGCCTGAGCTAAGGGTTCAGGGTTCCCAGGGGTCTGTAGCCCAGGAGAAGCCCTCCGGTGACCTCCCCTCCCTTCTCTGACTCTGTGTATGGCCTTGGTGTAGTGGGAAGGAGGGTTCTCTGAGAGATACCCACAGCCCCCACTCCCCTCCCCCGACACAGGGTACAATGCTTGGAGGCGCTTCTGTGGGCTGCCTCAGCCCCAAACAGTGGGCGAGCTGGCCACCGTGCTGAAGAACATGGACCTGGCGAGGAAGCTGATGGCGCAGTACGGCACACCCAACAACATTGACATCTGGATGGGCGGCGTGGCCGAGCCCCTGAATAGCAGGGGCCGCGTGGGCCCACTCCTTGCCTGCCTCATCGGGACCCAGTTCAGGCAGCTCCGTGATGGCGATCGGTGAGGAGGCAGGTGGGGTGGTCCGGGCACGCAGTGTGGCCCTGGTCCTGTCCCAGATCTCTCGGGTCCCCAACTTTTTCCAGTGAAATGAAGGGCTGGAAGGAATCCAGGACTTCCCAGTGTATTTCAGGGAACCTTAAAGGGATCCTGCATGTGCTCTGAACCTGTTGGGGGTGCAGCAAGGAGGGACCTGGACCCCTGGCTGGGAAGGAGGGAAGACTGAGAAAATGCCACCCTTTACTTCTGTGTGTTGGGTGCCACCGTGGTGCTGTCAGTCACCACTGAACAGTCATATGCTTCTAGTGTCATTTCATGGTGATTCTGACCTCAGCCGTACCTAGTTCTCACCTAGCCTGTGGTGTGCCTTTGGGGAGATTAGAAAAAGGTGTCCCTCTCTAGGTGGAAAGGTTATAAGCACCCCCACGATCCTCTCCATCCCCGTGGGTGCAGCTCAGGCCAGAGGCCAGTGTGGGCCCAGGTCCCTGTCCAGCGTTCGTGGTGCCCGCAGGTTGCTGGGGAAGGGCCTCTGGGTAGCTGGGCTTTACCCTGTGCATTGAGTGGGGCTGCGCTTGTTTGGAAACCCCTGGTTGCCTGAAGGCCCCGAGCTCTCCTGTGCTGTAGAGCAGTGTCTGCTGTGGTTCTCTTGCCTCCAGGGGTGGCTCAAGCCAGGTGACGCCCTCCCAGCCCAGGAGAGCCTCAGGTGCCATGACCGGGGTGTTCCCACGCAGGTTTTGGTGGCAGAACAGGGGCGTATTCAGCACGCGGCAGCAGCAGGCCCTGGCCAATGTCACCTTGCCTCGCATCATCTGCGACAACACAGGCATCACCACCGTGTCCAAGAACAACATCTTCATGTCCAACAAGTTCCCTCGGGACTTTGTCAGCTGCAGTCGAGTCCCCAAGTTGGACCTGGCTTCCTGGAGGGAAAGGGAGTAGAGGCTGGGTAAGGGGGCGCAGCACGGAGGTGAAGGCTGGACACACCTGGGCTGGCAATTGCAACCACAGCTCTTTCTTCCCGAAGCCAGCCCATCCCTGCTCTGGGTGCCAGCTGAGAAAATGAATGACTAGACATTCATTCATATATGTGTGTGCGCATGTGCAGTGTATATAAATTTTATTATGTGTGTGTGTGTGTTATCTGTGAACATGGGTAGTGTGTTGTGTGCTGTGTATGTGTGTCCTTTGTGTGAGTGTGTGTTTGCTGTTTCTGTGAGTACCAAGTGTATGGAAGTCAGCAGAGTGGATTGGTGAGGAGCACAGTGAGCTCAGGAGCCGGGCTGCTTGGGTTCAAATCCCTGCTCTACAGCTTACCCGCTGTGCGACCTTGAACACAGTACTCCATCTTGCTAAGCTTGAGTTTCCTTCTTGGGAACAGCTACTATACAGGGGTCACAGTTCCTTACAGGGCTCATCTGCATCCTCTAGTTCTTTGATCATCGAGCACTTACTATCTGCCAGGCACTGTGGTAGGCATGGGAACCACAGAGAAAGACAGATAGGTTCTTCCCTTGGGGAGCTTACACCTCAACAGTGTCCTGGTTCGCCTTTGCACCCCTGGAGGAATGGCCATTAGCACCTGGGCTGTATGTGGTGGTTGAGTTACGGGCCGAGGTGAGCCAGGCTCAGTCCATGGCTCCCTTTTTGCTTCCTTACCCTGTTCTCTTGCTTATTCACAGGAGCTGCCTGGAGAGGAACTGGGGCACGTTGGCTCTTTTGTACCATTTGTTTGTACCTGACACTTATGATAATAAAGTAGCACTGATGGGGATCTTTACTCTGTGTCTGCAGTGAGGCTAGTCTCACTATAGGGCTTGCTCTGGGCTCTGGGCTCTGAACTTGAACCAGTGTGGTCTGTGCCTCAGGGCCCGGTGTTTTCTGCACTGGGGGTGAGGGTATCCAGCAGTCCTCCTTTAGCGGATCCACACATGGGAGGCAGTCCGTGCTTAGAAGCCTAGGGGCCAGGCCAAACAGAGCAGACCCTCCTCCCTCACCTTCCACCCACATCTCCTGGAGAACAGGAATTGTGCCCACCAACTTCTTATGCTCATTCATTGCTCTAGTAAATATTTGCTACACACTCACTCTGTGTCAGGCATGTGTCAGGTGCTGGGGAATAGAGGAGCCAAAACACTGTCCTGCAAGAAGTCAAGAGCGGAGGTGTGATGGGAAGGGACCTCTGGATCCTGAATCCCTGCAGCCGGCACAGTGGTTCAGGGACCCTCACAGTAGACTCCTTCTCAGTCCTGGCTTTATGTGGCCAGAGCTGAGACAAGGGAAGGAGGGTACTTCCCTATTGCCTGGAGCATGGACCCTATAATCTGAAAGATGGATTCCCACATTTAGGGAGGGGCACCCTCAACTGAAAGTGTGTAGGACGCTGGAGCTAATGTACCCATAGGAGCCCCAGGCCACACCAGGACCTCACCAGAGCAGCATAAAACTTATCTTCAGTTCACTGATGAAGAGTATGGTGCTCAGAGATGTGAAGGGGCTTCTCTGAGGCCTTGAAGAAATCGGTACCAGGGCCAGGGCTGCAGCCCAGGTCTTCCGGATTCTGGGCTGTTCCCACAAGATGGTTAAGTACCTCCCATCCGTCCCCACCCCCATCCCACCAGGGAGGGCACCTGGAGGCCCTGGCTGGGCTGACCTTACCCAGAGAGTTATTTATTTATTTTAAATGTATTTTTATTGAATTCAGAGAGGAAGGGAGAGGGAGAGATAGAAACATCAATGATGAGAATCATTGATCGGCTGCCTCCTGCACGCTCCCTACTGGGGATCGAGCCCACAACCCGGTCATGTGCCCTTGACCCGGGACCCTTCAATCTGAAGGCTGATGCTCTATCCACTGAGCAAAACTGGCTGGGGTCAGGGGGTCATTTTAAAAGAATACATGAATATGTGTTGGCTAGCAGCACAAGGAATATTCTGGAAATGTCCCTTTAGAGGCCTCCCAGGCTCCAAGGCCTACCCTAGAAGGACCTCTGGAAGGGAAATTAACTCTAGATAGAGGGGGATCCAGGCTTGGCTTTCCTCCCTGATCCCTGACATTACCAGGCCTTCTCTCTTGCCTTTCTATGGCCATTGCTCCTTTTCCTGGGAGCCCCTCCCTCCTCTTCTTAGAGAACTCCTTGAAATTCTACCAAACTAAGCCCTCTTAGCCCCCCAGACCCATGCACACTTCTTAGTGATGAAACTGTAAACATCTAGTTACTTAATTGGCAGTGATTCCAAGGCCTGCCTTCCAGAAGGGAACAGTGTCATTGCCAGCATCATTAGTCAATCATCAGGCATTTATTGAGTGCTTACTGTATACCAAGCACCTTGCTGGGGGCACAGGAGACCCTCAGAAGCAGGTCAATTCCCTGGTTCAAGGAACTTACAATCTAGTTGAGAAGAAAGAGGAAAGATAAGGGTGCAAAGGCCACAACCTCGGCCAAGATATTCCATGGAGAGGATAGGTGACATCTGGCAAGCTAGCCTGGAAGGGCATCTCGAGAGTCTACATCATGACAAACGAGGATCTCCCCAGGCAGAGGGGATGGGAGCAGTGGATTTCAGGTGGAAGAACAGGAACGGCCAAGGCTCTGGCCTTGGGCTTGCGTGGGGTGTGCATCTGTCAGGTGTAACAAGACCTGGCTGAAAAGAAGGGCTGGGACAGGGTGTGGAGGGCTCAGGGAGTGGTCATTGAACTCGCTTGAAATGGCATCACGGACCAAAGGGCGCTTTCCCGCACAGTGTGGAAGGTCCCTACATCCCCTCTGAGGCCCAGGGTGAGAGGTCCAGCTTCTCAATGGCTGAGCAGTCCACAAAGTCTTGGGGGTAGCTGTTGGCCTGGAACGGGTTCGGCGGGACTTTGGTGATGTGGGTGTTGTCACAGACAAGGCGGGAGAAGGACATTTTCTGCAGAGAGTCCCGCTGCTTCTCAGTGAAGACGCCAGGGTTCTCCCACCAGAACCTGCAGAAACAGAAGCACAGTCTGTACAGACCGTCCAGCTGCTGACCCTGCCCTGCCCTCCGAAGGGGAAGGAAGGAGGTCATGGGGACCATGCTGAGGTCTGTGTTCGTCCTCACGCAGGAGGTGGGGACACCCACTCGGGGAAGGGCCTGCCCTCCCACTGAGGTTCACTTACCTGTCGCCATCCCGGATCTGCTGGAACTGTTTCCCCAGGAGGCAGGCCAGGAGAGACCCCACCCGGCCCCTTTCTACCAGTGGCTCAGCAATGCCCCCAATCCAGATGTCGATGTTGCTAGGGGTCCCGTAGAGATCCAGGAACTTCTTAGCCAGCTTTTCGTTCTTCAGCACAGCACCCAGCTCTGCCAGTGTCTGGGGCTGCGAGAGGTCGCAGAAGCCTCTCCAGGAGTTATACCCTAGGCAGAGAGAGTGAAGCTGTCTCATCCCAGGGACTACTTGTCCAAAGCCCCCCTTATGCACATACCCACTCCAGTTCCATCCGCTCCAGACAGTCTAGCTTTTATGATGAGGTTCCATTGTTTGCTACCTGTGGCACGTCAGACTCAAGAGGGCTAGCAGGTTATGGGGGTCCAGACCCTATCCTAAGCACACATGGAAACTGGAGAACAGAGATGTTAAGTAACTTGCCTAAGGTCACATAACTAGAACTGGCACAGGTGGAATTTGAATCCAGGTAGTCTGGCTCTTAATTATAACATTAAATGGCCTCCCCTCGGTCTAAAAGAAGGCCCCATAGTCATCAATTTCTCTCTGTTCTCCTTTTCTATTTTTTTTCCTTGGGCTTTCAAACTGGTTTTATAAGTCCTTTGGTGATCTCGTTTTCATTTGAGGATCTCCAAAATGGTACCAGATATGTTACCATTGTTTCCTTATTTCTACATTAGGGAGAATGGGAGATGCCATTTCACAGATGAGCAAATGAGTCTTAAAAATCGGTATATCTGCCTGCTCTTTTGGAATTGATCAGATCCTAAGGATGACAGATGAGAGTCCTCTAGAACCCCAAAAAGTAGCTTCATGTTCCCCAGGCCAGGACAGACCCAGGCCCACGCACCAGGCATCCCGTGGTCCCGGCCACGCTGTATGTTAATGGCAGCCAGGTCGAAGCCATGGATCTTGTGAGTGGGCTGGAAGAGCTTGTTGCGCAGCTCTCCCGTCATCATTTTATTCTGCTTCATCAACTTGGACTTCTTGGCCAGTAGGCCCCGCACCAGAGGGTCAATTCCACCTGCAAGGAACCTGGGGATGAGGGGAGGGTGGGGACATCTTCCACTACTGCTCCCCCCCTCCACCAGACATTTTCTCTCAGGTTGAAGTAGGGCCAACTGAACTTCTCAGGCTACAAATGGGGAGAGAAGAGCACAGTGCAGCCTGCAGGGTGCGCTGTTGCGCTGGGGGAGGGGGCAGTCCAGACAGCCTGCTTTGGAGTGGAAGAAAGGGCCATTTGTGAAATAATACCATGAAGATAAGATTCAGAAAAAAAAATTTTAAACCCCCACCCAAGAATATGTTTTTCATTGATTCTACATGGAGAGGGAGAGAAAGAGAAACACTGATCTGAGAGAGAAATATTGGTCGGTGCCTCATACACGCAACCCGACTGGATGTATCGAACCTGCAACCTGAGTATGTGCCCTGACCAGGTATTGAACCCATGACCCTTGGATGCATGGGATGATGCTCTAACAGAACACTGGCCAGGGCAAGCTTCAGGATTTTTTCCAAACTCCAGTTCAGAGAGTTGGTTCCTTCTCCTTCCACATGTTCCCTTAAGGAATGGTGCTCCATAGGAAAAGGTAGCAGAAATCTATAGAAAAATGGCCCTGACTTGGCACTTAATAGAAGTGGAAAACCTTAGAGGGGGACAGAGAAGAGCAATTTACTTACCAAACCCATCAATTTTTTCTACAGAGATGAGGGAAGCCCAGCACAGGGAAAGGAGGTAGGAAAAACCTGGCACCTTAAAGGCCAGATGAGGAAAGAATAATAACTAGAATTTATTGACCACCTCCCGTGTGTCAGGAGCTGTTGCTGGGTGCTCTACTCGAATATTTCAAACTGTTTTTATACCCTAGCGAGATAGGTACTATTATTGTCCACATTTTACAACTGAGGCCCAATGAGGAGAATTCCCTTACCCAACGTCATACAGAAGGTGCCTAGAGTCTGACTTCCAAGCCAGGTTTCCTTAAAAGCAGGCTGCAGGGTGAGACAGCCAGGTGGCAGCTGGCTGGATGGGCTTACCGTCTTTGACCATCCTCCAGCTGTTGAAGAAGAGGGTGTGCAAGGGGAGCTCTGGTTCTGGCCCCCATGGCTGATAGTTCTCATCCAGGCGGGACACAGTGGAGGGAACCTCCAAGTGGCCGAAGCGGAAAGCAAAGGTGAAGACATTGGAAATTCGTGGGTCCACAGATTTATTGTAGCCTCTGTAAGGAGGGATCCACTTCTCCATCTCCACACCTAGCACAATGGGGAGGTAGTCCCTAAAGGTGATGATCTGGAAGGAGCAACAAGTCATGAGGAAAGGGTGTGAGAAACGCTGCACCATGGAGAGATCAGTTTCTGAAAACAATGAACTAACATAAATTAAGAATTTTTTCAAAAAATAGAAAATCTTGCCACCACATGACACAATAATTATATTAATGTTTAGCCTTTCTAATATTTGTCGATACAATATACATTTTACATAGTTGTAATCCTAGAGAATGCAAACTTTTGCATTTGGCTTTTTCACTTCACATTTATCACATTTCTACCTAACTCACGATGATATAACTACATGTGTATAATATTCT